GTACGCTTCTTTTCCCTCTTTGCGGCGCGTCACAATTTGTCTCATTACGGACATCGGGGTGGTTGGTGCGGTTCGCGCGAGGACACGTTTCATCGAGAGTCGCCATTTATATGATTTGTCAGCGACATACGTCGCTAATGGCGCAGCTTTCCAGCCGATTTGTCGAAAAAGTGGCCCGCACGACCGACGAGGCGCGTGTGCCTGCTTCAATATGAAAAACAACCGATCTTCCGTTCTTTTTTTTTCTTCTCTCCCTCGTGGCCGCTTGAAAAAGGCAAAAAGAAGCAGCCGACAGCTCGTACTCGTTTTGTACTCGAAGGACGACGAGAGGGGTCGTCAGCGATCACGCGGAAAAATTGACGATGCTCCCAATATGTCGATGAGCGAACGAAAAGGAGGGCATACGTGCCGACGGGGGTGGATACGACCCCTCGTGTCCCGTATGGAAATGCACGCGTTACAAACAGAGACCTCGAAAATCGGGATTAATGCAAAACATCCAGTTCAGCGTAATATATACACAGTCGTATTGAAAGAATGTAAAATATGGGAACATTTCTCAAGTATAATCAGCGACAGAGATTTCATCTCTTTACTATAAAAATCACATGGCTACAATTGGGCCAAGTTGTCAATCCTCAACGATTTGAAATCGAGTCGAGACTTAATTTGAAGATTTTTGTTAAAAAAGAAAAAGTAGGTAATTTTCCTTCCACTGAGTATATTTTATTTCTTGCTTTCGTTTTTCAATGTTTGAAATGAAACTATAGTACTTGGAAATTTTAATAATTGCACAATATGAAAATTGTAAAGACTGGCTAGTCTTTACAAAAGAAAGATCAGGAAATTATAGGATTCGTTCTGCGTCTAATCCATCTTTTTGTTACTTTGAGATAAATTTTGATAAATTTAGAGATTGATAAATTTCTGCATAACTGAGGTCCAACTGAGCGTAAATTTGTTTCTTTAATTTCTTACTGTATGGATATATTTACAATAACAATTACGACGATACTATCGTAGTTGGAGAAGCATCGCACCTGCTTTCTGTTTCCTTCGTTTCTTTTTTTCTTAAAAATTATAATTATAAGCACATATTCTTTAATTGCAGTTGAAACATTTTTTTCGTAAAAATAGCTTTTTGAAAGCCAATATCAATACTACAGTTCTCATTTATTGTATCAGGACAAGATTTAAATTTTTCTAAAGAACATATTCGAATTTAATATCGATTCACTGATGCATGATCTATCTTTTAAACTAAAAAATCAACAAACTTGACTAGTTGATTAATTTTATAGTTCAAATTAATCACTAATAAATATTACTTCACTAAATTCTAAATAATTTTACACGTTTGTGAAATCGGGCATTTCACATGCAACAACCCAATATGCACTACATATGATCAGAGGATCGCTTATTTATAAATAAATTACGTCATTCAAAGACAAGATACGAGACACGAAGAACGAGTATTGCAATAAACGCGACAAGATTGATCATTTAAGACGGGTTCTCGAGATCATTCGGTAAATTGGAGCTGTACCCTCGACACGAGGGACTCACGGCCGAGTGAGCTAAGCCTAAGATTGGTTTAGTCGCCACTAAGGCACGCCGCGAGTCGGCAGTTCTGCGGATCACGCGTCACCGAGCAAAATGCAACCGGAAAGAGAAGATTCCCCCTCTGGTTTCCTTCGATTTTCCGCTTCCCACCCCTCCGCGACGGATCCGAAAAACGAGACCCAGCCAGTGTGGCAGGTGAGGTACAGCGATACCTCGAACAACACCCCTCGATATCACGAGTTTCCCTTCGTTCCGCTTCAGGTGTGTATCCGACGAATAAGTGTTCACGAAATTTGGGGAAAAATTTCGGTTTGAGGTCCTTTCTTTCTTTCTTTTTTTTTTTTTTTTTGGAGTTTGGCGCAAGTTTACGAGA